TCGGGGGGCGACGCGCCCATTGGACGGCGCCGGAGGCGAGCCCCAGCGCGGCCAACTCGGCGAACTCGCGGCGACCCTCGCGGCAGTCGGCCACCTGGCCCCCCGCGCTGAGCGACGCAGAGGTCCTGCGAGAAAGCTCGAGCGCCTCGGCAGCGCCCGCCTCGGGCCCATCGATCCAGGCCCAATGCGGATACGGCGGTGCGACGGCAAGACAAGAACGCTCCGCTTGGACGGGATCCAGCGCACAGACGCCCGCACAGCCCCAGCGAGGCACCAAGCGGCACATTGCCGGGCCACTCGGAGGACCCCCCCGGCCGAGGAGCGCCTCTTAGATCTCCATCGTACACACAATTTCCGTAGTTTCACAGAAGAAGAGGATCCACTTGCCGAAGGACTCCGAGCCACGAAGTCCACGCCGAAGAGACTAAGAGAATGAACGAGCGCACGACCCTCGAGCGCAATGATTTTCGCGGCTCAGGACCGACCCCCACTCAACACCACCTGCCACTGTCCACCGCGCAGCTCGCCCTCCACCTCTGGGCCCTTCCACCTCTCCTCCGCGATAACCTCCTGCTCCTTCATCGGCGACGCGACGAGCTCGGGCACTGACCCGGGCTTCGCGACGTCGCAGAGGCCCCCCGCGACGGCCGCCGGATCGCTCGGCTCGGCGAGGCAATTGCAAGGTCGCGATCGGAAACAACGCGGGCATTGCCACCTCCCCCCTCACTCCCCCGCAACACGAATAGCGTCGACGTTGAGCTCTCTGGCACGCCCCCCCCCTCCTCGCCCGCGTCGCTCGGGAAAATCCTGGGAGACCAGGACGCCCGGAGACCGGCCCACGCCGGCGGAATGAGAGGGCGGCCCAGCGGAGTTCTCGGCGAACAGCCGGCGGAAGCCTCGCCACGCGATCGGAGTACTTGCGGGAGAGAGCGCACACGGCGCTGAACGCGGCCCGCAGAACTTGCCGAGCAAGGGCAGCGAAGGCGAAGTGACTAGCGACCTCACCGACCGGCCGCCCCGAAGCATGCCCAAGAGCCAGCGCATCCTGAATACCCACGCGGAGCCCCCATGCACAACGACTCTTCGGCCCAGGGGGCCCGCGGCCCTCGTCGAGGACCCAGCCAAGCTGCTCCGAGACCGGCGCGGGCCCATCCGGATTGCGAAGCGGGGGCCCCCACAGCAGTCAGGGTCTCTCGGGCCGACTTCTGGAGCACCGCGGGCCTATAAGGATCAGCTCCAACAGCAACGAAGCCGTCAGCGCGCGCAGCGGAGGCTCCGCCACGAACATCCAGCGCGGGCGCGCCGTCGACCACCTTTGAAAAAACTCCGAAGCTGAGCTTCCCCATGGGGAAACTTGTCGGAATTCCGCGGAACAGGTCGAGCGCGCGCGCAGAAACCACGGGGGGCACTGCCGGGCCCGGGCGCGCCCAGCGCGCCCGCCCAGCAACAGGGCGCCCGCCCAGGTCGCGCGCGGTGTCGGACGGCAGCCCCACGCCGTGGAAGGCGCCCCCGAGGGCCACGCCTGCCGCCCACAGCACCCTCCCCAGGAGAGAATCCGATCGAATTTGCGGAGCTGCCCCCGGGCGCGAGAGGCTTTCTGCTCCGCCCGGAGCACTTGAAGCTGCCGCCGCGGCACCGCCCAGGATCGGAACCCCTCCACCCTGAACTCCAGCACGCCCCCAGCCCCCTATCCCCCTCGACAAGGGCTGGGCGCGCCGCCGGCCGTCGCGGCGCAGGGCCCACGGCGCGGGCGGCAGAAGCCAGCCTGCCCCTTGGAAATCTCGGCACTTCGCATTGGCAGAGCCGTCGAAGACGCGAACGTCCGCGCGACATCTGGACCATAATCACCCAACGCCTTGCTCAGGGGCACAGGAGCGCCGCCCACGGCCAGCAGGGGCGCGAGAGGCCGCGACGGGCCCGCCGCCAGGAGAGCCCGCGCCGACCTGAAGCTCCCGCAGGGCCGCCTCGATCGACCGACTGATCTGGATGATACAAGAAAAAACGCCATGAACATAAACTGTTGGCGCTCCGCGCGGACTTCTTGGATCTGCGGTGGACCCCCCCCTCCCCGGCGCGCTCCGCGCGCCAGGGGCGGCGGCGGAGGCGCCGCCGGGGGGGCCCACCACGGAACCAAGAAATCCGCGCGGAGCGCCAAAAATTCATGTCGATGGCGTTTTCTTCGAGAGGAGGGGGCTCCGTCGCCGCGCAGCACTCGGCGAGATGCCCCAAGCACATCTGGCGCATCCCGCGGGGCCCCTGCCCCGCACGTCTGGGCACATCGTCTGAGCCAACACCCAACAGGTGGAGCGCCACCGCGAGCTCCGCCACGAGCCCTCCCCGCAGCGCCCATCATTTCTTGCGGCGGCGCCCGGCACCGCGGGAACATCGCCCGCTGGCTCCAGCGCCCACGTCGCCCCCATTCCGAGACTGGCAAGGGAAGAAGCGACCGCGGCCAGTGGCCATCGCCTCATCCCCGCGCCTCTCCGTCGACAACTCCGGGTCGACACAGCCCACGGAGTCGGGGTCAACATCATGACCTGCCGGGAGGAGTTCATCCGCCCTGTCCCTCGAGGCGGCCGCCTGCTCCTCCCTCAGCTGTCCCACATTCTTATCGCTGCTTGGGATCCGCCCCAGCTCCGCCCACACCGCTTGCACGGGGTCGGGGCGCCCCATCGACGCGGACCTCGTACCGTCCCGGAAGACGTGCGACCCCTCCACGGGAGTCCGCATGTCGCGCTGCTGCACCTCGGCGCTCACGTCGCCCAAGCAGCGCTCGATGGGCTGAAGCTTGCGGTGCCCATGCTCTACACTCACAAGGTTGTACACGCTTACGCGATCGACTCTACCCATGGACTCGAGAATCTTCGGGCTCGTTGTCTGGATACCCACTTAGAAATCGGTCACAATATGCTGGCGTTTCGCATCCCACGTCTCCGACGGCAGCTCGAACGCACCCGCGCCGATGCCAAGAAACTCCTCGTCGGCCGCCTTGACGGCATGGCCCATGTCAGGGGCCACCGTCTGCTGCTGCACGACCATGTCTTCCTCGTCGGACGCCTGAGTGACCACCTGTGCGCTCTGGCGCGGGCACGCCTCCACCCCGCTGGCGGCGGAGAGACGCCCTCTCGCACTGGCCGTGGCTCGCCGGCATGCCCAGCACCTCTCTCTCCCGCACCTCCCTGAGCCCCCAGCGGCGAGACCGGCCTCGGGCCCTGCTCCGAGGACTTCTCTTGGCCCTGGAGACGAGGGCGTGGCCGTGGCCCTCGGCGGGGGAAGGCTCCCCGGAAGGCTCACCTCGGCGAGCGGGCGTCTGCCACGCTCCGAGCCTCCTCCTCCTCCTCCTCCTCCTCCTCCTCCTCCTCCTCCTCCTCCTCCTCCTCCTCCTCCTCCTCCTCCTCCTCCTCCTCCTCCTCCTCCTCCTCCTCCTCCTCCTCCTCTCCCCTCCTCCGAGTCCCCACGTCGCTCCACTCCTCGGCTCAGCACGACGCCGGCGAGACGCCCGTCGAGCAGCGCGATCGAACGGAAGCCGAGCCGAAGGCGACGGCCTCGGCCTCGGTTTCGACGGCGATCCGCCGGCGAAGGCCGTCCGCCCGCCTGCTCCTCGCCGGCTCGCACACCGAGCGCTGCACCGGGCTGCTCGAGAGATGCCTCGGAGCCCAAGAGGTGCCTCGGAGCACGGCCAGCCAGCATTCGGCTGGGCATGTCCCCCCACAGGCGGACGGCGGACGAAAGATCACCAAAAACAAAGGGTCCCAACAAAAAAATATGCAAGCACTGTCGAAGAGAATCGCGAAACCGTCCCCTGACTGTTGTTGGCCTCTCCTCGAGTATGCCTCCTGCAGGGGGGCACGCCCGCCTCGAGGCTCTCGGCGCGCCGCCCTGGGGCGACCCCGCCTGCGCGCGCGGGCCTCGGCGGAGAGCCCGCCGCGGGCCGGCCGCCGACCGCTCGGCCCAGGGCCACGGCAGAGGGGCTCGGGCTCCGCCGGGCCGCTGGGACGAACCTGCGCCCGCCTTCCGGGCTCCGCCGAGCCGAAGAATGACGAACGAGCAACACAGAGGGAAAAGAACTATGCACATGCACCGATTCTGGCCAGGCCCATCCTGAGCCCAGGATCGGTGCATACGCCCTCCTGCCTTGGCCAGGAAGGCATATGCACCGATCCTGGGTCAAGGATGGGCCTTGCCAGGATCAGTGCATGTGCATAGTTCTCTTCGCCCGACAACACACACCCATACCCATGGGGGGGTCGTTGGGAGAGGAGGACTGGCTGTGGGTATTGGGTGCGGGTTGTCGGACCCTCGGGAACGCTCCCGTTCGAGCGGGGACCCCCATCCGACAACACGCACCCACAGCCCTCTCCGACCCCTCTATGGGTATGGGTGTGTGCTGTTGGTTCGTCGAAGAACTGATGCGACGGGACGAGCCGTGGGAGGTTGTCGGGACAAGAGGGTCGCGACAGCAGCCGGGGAGCAGGTCTCTCTCTCTCGGGCGAGGACTCAGCCTGAAATGGCATCGAACTGCAACGGTCGCGACCTCTCCTGCTCGGAACTGCGGCCATCAGGGGCGAATTGGCGAGCATGCGGGCAACAAGGAAAACGGCGACGATGACGAGGGGGACCAGGAACACGAGGAGAAGTGGGGGTCCTGGGGCCTTCCCGTCTTGGGAGCATGTTCGGCCAGTTCCTCAAGTCTTGACTACCTACCAGACCACCCCAACCCAACCCGAAGACCCGAATTTCGGGTTGGGGGGGGTAAGGGTTCCACATGTGTTTTTTCGATGTTTCCCGACCCCCCCCCACTAGAAATCGAGGGTAAATCTGAGCCTTCGGGTTGGGTTGGGGTGGTTTGGTGGGTGGTGAAGTCTCCTGGGCTCTTGGAGGCCTCTCGGGGCGCCTCGGAGCTCTCTCCGAGGGCCAGCTCGGAGGCTCCTAAAAAACCCCTGGGCGCGCCTGCCGGGGCCCTATAGGCTAACCTGCGGGACGGAGGCGCCCGCGCCCGCCTCGTTCTCGTCGGCGCTCGCCGCGAGCCCGGCCATCACGTAGTTCCGCGGGGTCCTGTACTTCGTGCAGAACCGGGTGACCTGCCGGCGGGTCGGCGGCCCTCCGCCGCGGCGTCTTCGCCGTCCTCCTGGTACGGTGCTGCTCCTCCTCTGCCTCCCCCTCCTCTTCCTCCTGATCCTCCTCCTCCTCCTCCTCCTCCTCCTCCTCCTCCTCCTCAGCATCATCATCACCATCACCACCGCAATCATCATCGTCATCATCATCATCATCATCATCATCATCATCATCATCATCATCATCATCATCATCACCACCACCACCACCACCACCACCACCACCAGGAGCAGCAGCAGCAGCAGCAGCAGCTCCACCGACACCACCATCATCACCATCACCATCACCATCACCATCATGATCATCAGAATCATCATCCTCATCATCAGAGTCATCATCATCAGCAGCATCATCATCAGCATCATCAGCATCAGCAGCAGCATCATCACCAGCATCATCATGATCATCATCACCACATTCATCATAAGCATCATCATAATAATCATGATCATCGTCGTCGCCGCCATCATCATCATCATCATCATCAGCAGCAGCAGCATCATCATCTGCATCATCATTGTCAGCAGTACCATTATCATCATCACCAGCAGCAGCAACATCAGCAACATCAGCAGCATTCACAGCAACCTATCATCGATCGTCTCCCCTGAATAACCGATCGATTGCAATCATCATCATCATCATCATCATCATCATCATCATCATCATCATCATCATCATCATCATCATCATCATCAGCATCAGCATCATCATCATCATCATCATCAGCATCATCATCATCAGCATCATCATCAGCAGCAGCATCGCCATTGCCGTCGTCATCGTCATCATCATGGCCCTCTTCAACGGCATCAGCATCATCGTCCGCATCATCATCCGCATCATAATCATAGCCATCTCCTTACCAGCAACATCATCTTCACCGTCAACATCATCAGCAACAGAATTGCCAACGTCACCGTCATCATCAACACGATCAGCATCGTCATCAGCACCATCATCGACATGGCCATCCTCATCATAATCATCACCATTACCATCATCATCATCATCATCATCATCATCATCATCAGAGTCATCATCATCATCATCATCAGCATCATCATCATCAGTATCATCATCATCATCATCATCATCATCATCATCATCATCATCAGCATCATCATCATCATCATCATCATCATAATCATCATCATCATCATCATCATCATCACCAGCATCATCATCGTCATCACCACCATCATCGTCATCGTCATCATCATGCCCTTTTCCTCATTCCTCTTCATCTCTTCCGCTTCCTCTTACACCCCCTTCCCCCTCCACATCCTCATCCTGCCTCCCCACTCCCCCCCTTCCCCTTCGCATTCCCCATACTCCTCGTCCTCCTCCTCCCTATTCCGGCTCTTCGTCACGCCTCCTTCCTGTCTGCCCCTTTCGAACAAGACGGCCAAGATGATGTCCTTATCCCCACCCGCACTCTGGGAGTGCCTTCTGGATCCGTGCATTTGGACGCGAATGCACATCATTGATTCTGCAACCACGTGAAACCCAAGCTGGCATCATGTCACGAAACACCTACTGTCCGCAACGGCACTTTTGGACGCCAACGACAGCGTCAAAAACCAAATACATCAACAACCACAAACAAAAACCCAAAACGGAAAACCCAAAAAACAACAAACAAAAAACATAGAAATACGAAACTCACCCCCCGCCCCCCCGCCCCCAAAAAAAAATCGCGCAATGCATGCCCGATCTCACAAGTGCAGATCTCAGACGGCGTTTCATACATCAGTGCCAAAAAAATGCGGATTCTCGAATCATACTGCCCCTGAGCTGCTGCATGCGTAAAACCATATTTGAAAGGGCAATGTCGCGCTGCTTCAGATCTAAAATTGGCCAATCTACAAAACAATAGATCATCCTGCTGTCATCGCCATTTCATGCCACGTTGCGATCACGGCACGGGAAACATTGTTACACTCTCGAACATCAAGTTCACGAGACCGCGCGACAAAACACCTGTTCTCATTAATCCCACCAGCCCTTTTGGAGTTGGTGGCATAACGAGATTCTGCTGTCCTCTTCCAAGACCCTCTCCTCCCCGAGGAGACCCCCCCCCCCCCGAGCGGCCACGGCGCCCAGAATGACCCAAAATGGCCACGCGAGGGCGCCCGAGTCCGAAGCCCCAAGGCGGCATCCGAGAGGGCTCGAGAGGACCGAACGAAGCTCCACGCTGCTCCCCACGTGCTCCAAGAGGCCCAAAACACAGCTCCGACACGGCCCCGCATGCACCCGGAGCCCCCGAAGGACGCCCCTGAGGGGCAAGCACCCCAGCAGAGAGCCCGGATGGCAGCTGAGGCACGTGTCCCACGCGCGCAGACGACGAAGATGATTTTGCCCCGCTGGCGGCTACGATGGTGACGCGCACAAGAGCCGCGACGAAACTCCACGACCCCCCTCTGAACCAGGAGCGAGATCTCGGCGGACCCCCGTGGACCGCGGAGTCGTTCGGCCCACTCCCGTGTCGGGATCGAACGACTCCACCGTCTCGCCGGGAGCGGTGTCCTGTCTGGCGGGTCGGGCCTTCTGCGTCGGGCCGTGCGCGGTCTGCCACGGCACGGCCCTCGGCGGCGTCGCTGGTGACGTCGGGAGGGTTGCGCAGTGGGTGCCGCCTGGGCTCTCGTGGTTTCTCGCAGCGTGGGTAACGATGGCCTGGCCCAGCTGCGGCTTCGCTCTGCTCTGCGCTGCGTGGCCGTGTTTCGCGTCGGGAGCAGAGGATGGAAGACAACGACGATGTCCCCCCCTGTCGGCACTCGCGGAACACGACACGCGCCGCAGGCTGCGCGGCGCCGCGGCTCCCAGGCACGCCGCGGCCCTGAACGCGCGGGCGCAACGGGCCGAGCAGCACCGCCGTCGCGAGCGCGCGGGCGCAGCAGGCTGGACAGCGCCGCGCTCGAATACATGAACAGCTGATTGCCCGACTTTGCATTCTGCGCGCCGCGGCGCCGCGCGGGGTGGCGGCCGCTTCTGCTTTCCCGGGCACCTGCCGTCGCCCGCGGTGGGGGGGGTTGTTCGGGCGGGAAGGCAACGGCAACGGCGGCCGCGGCGCGCACCCGCCATGGTTCGCCCGCGCCACCGGCGCATCCATCGCCCGCGCGCCACAGCGCGCAGACAAATACGTAAACACAGAGCGGATTCGAGCCACAAGTAAAGGGCAATATATAGGCACAGACGTAAGAAACGTAAGGTTCGACACACAAGAGAAGGACAAGGTAAAGGCACACACGTAAAACACAAGGATTCGCGCCACGGGAGAGGGGGGCAATCTATAGGCACATGCGTAGAACACCCAGGGCTCGAGCACCAGAGGGGCAACCTATAAGCAAACACGTGAAACAAAAAGGATTCGAGCCACAGGAGACGGCCAAAATGTAGGAACAGACGTAAAACACACAGAATTCGAGCCACAGGAGACCGGGTTGTGAGGCCTCGGGAAGCCCGGGGGGGAAAAAATCAACGAATCGACACCGAACACACATAAACTTCCGACGTTCCGTCCTGGGGCCCGGGGAGGCCTGGGGAGATACATAGAATTCGAGCCACAAGAAGGAGGCGATCGATAGGCACATACGTAAAGCACGTAGGGCTCGAGCCACAGGAGAAGGGCAATCGAAAGGCACTTACGTAAAACACGGGATGCGCACCGCAGAACAGGGGTAATATGTAGGCACATACGTAAAACACACAGGACTCCAGCCAATATCGATGGGTACATACGAAAGCCCACACAGTGTTCGAGCCACAGGCGAGGGGCAATCGAAAGGCACAGAGGGTTCGAGCCACACATGAATGAGACACACAGGATTCGAGCCCCAGGAATGGGGCAACATATAGGCACATATGTAGCCCGAGGAGAGGGCCAAGCTATGGGCACATCTGTCAAAACATGTTAATTCGAGCCACAGGGAAGGGGCAATCCAGTGGCACATACATAAAACACATAGGGATCAAGAAACAGGAGAGGGGCAATATACATATATAGGCACACTAAAAAGGATTCGAGCCCCACACATGAGATACGAGCCCCAGGAAAAGGGGCAATATATAGGAACAACTATGAAATACATGGGTTTCTTTTCCACAACACCAGAGTGAGTCTCATTTCTGGTTCTGCGAAGGCTGCAATTGAGCTCGGAAGCTCGACCCCCTGTGCATATTTTGGTGGCATGAATCCTTGAGCTGAGATCAAGCCAGAACACCGTTGTGAGTCTCATTTCTTGTCCAAAGCAAACCAGAAAACCATAGTGAGTCTCACCTCTAAATATGGGAGGGCTCACTTCTAGCCAGAACACAATAGTGAGCTTCATTTCTGGACCAAATCGAACCAGAACACCTGAGTGAGTCCCATTTCTGGATCTGCGAGGGCTGGCATCGAGCTAGAACACCATAGCAAGTCGACTCCGGATCGCCGCTGGACCGATGAGACGCCTCTCCCTGGCCTCCCCTGCGGAGACTCTGGCGAAAGGAGATCGAACCAGAACACAATGATGAGCATCACTACTGGGCCAAATCGAGCGAGAACAGCAGCGTGAGTCTCGCTTCGGGATCTGGGAGGGCTGACATGCATTACAGTTAGCCTAATTTCTGGACCAAAACAAGCCAGAACGCCACAGTGAGCATCGTTTAACCGATCCCTATTTCCAGTGGCGTGGCCTGGTCCCCACTGGCCGATGTACCCCCGAGATGGGGATGTCGGCGGTCCCCTTCGGGCTTCGAGGGGCATATCCCAAACTAGGATGGTGGGATGGTGGGGATCGGAACGGGGATGGGAATGGGGATGGGGATCGGTTAAACGATACTGAACTGACTCAGCGGTGGACAAACCTCCCTTTTGAAGACCTCCCCTTAGTGAGAACGGCCTGGGACCGAAACCGACGGACCTCGACCCGCAAAGACGACGGCCGCGACGCCCTCTCGCGAACCGAAAACGGCCAATTCCTGAATCGACGTGTCAGGGTAGGAGGTCTGTCCACCCCCGACTGACACAGGGAGCGCTGCCGGACCCTGAGACCGAGCCAGAACAAGCGCTAGTGCGCGCTGCCGGACCGCGCCGCGAGGCCGCCGCCGGGCCTGGGAGGCGCCTTCCCCCACATGCGCCCGCCCTGTGGAGATTATGGCGACGAGTCGCTGGAGCAACGAACAAAATCCATCGAAACCTCAAGGAGCAAACACGATGTGTGCCTTCTCGCCGTTTCGCTTGCGCTGCGCTGTTTGGGGGGCCTCGAGAGGACCCCAGGATGGCCCGGGAGAGCCCCGAGAGGGGCCCAAAGCCCCCTGGGACGGCCCCAAGAGCGCCCCAAGAGATGGTGTTGAGGGCTCTTGAGAGGGGACCCAAGTAAAGCACCCCCCGCTTTTGATCGATGGCCTCCAAGAAGGCCCCAAGAGGCCCTCTAGGGCTCCTTAGAGCGCTAGAGGCCCCCAAGACCCCCAAAAGAGCCCCGAAAGGACCCCGATTCCCACCGAAAGAGCCTCAAGAACGCCCCGAGAGAGCCCCAAGAGGGCTCCAAGAGAGCCTCAAGAAGACCCCGAGATGGCTGCCAGAGTCCTCGTCCTCGTCCTCCTCGTCTTCGTCCTTCTTGTCCTCGTCCTCATCCTCTCATCCTCCTCGCCATCCTTTTCATGGTTGTTATCTTTCTCGTCCTCCTCGGAATGATGTTCTGGCACGAGTCAAGATCGTCCAGACACAACAGTCAGGTTGATCCGAGGCGTTGGAATCCCGAAAACAATGTTTTGGCATGCATCAGGTTCTTCAAACGGTTGTCTTGCAACGAGGCAGCTCCCTGTGAAAATGAATCGTCGTAGGGGCCTATGAAGAGGAAGCTTGGAGGGAGGGTTTATTCCAACATCGTTGATGACTCTTGGGTTTTCACTGGACCTCCTCCTAATCATCATCCTGCTCCCCTCCTCCTCCTCCGCATCCTAAGTTCATTTTGTTGCCCGCTTTGGTTCAGTATATGTGTCTATTCCTCTAACGTCCCGTCAGCTCTCATGGACAGCGTTTCTGAATGGTCTGGTGGGGATATGTTTTATGGTCGCGTCCGCTAGCGAGGGCGCAAGCGGAGTCAGAAGCGCTCCGGGACACGGAAGCGGCCTAATTAGCTACTAAACGCGCCGCAGGCCGGCCGGCCCACTCACCGAGCAGCGACAGGCTGCGCGGGAGAGATGGCAAGCTGAGGGCGTCCAGGGAAGCTCAGGCATTTGCAGCCCAGCAAAATGCTGGAACTGCTGGTGGGGATACGCGGATACTTTTTTGGTCGCGGCCGCGAGACAAGGGTCAGGCGGCGAAGGCAACGTCCGGGCCACGGGCGAGGCTAATTGGCTAGGACAGGAGCGTCGGCCAGCCCCCTCAGACGGCAGGGGATACGCGGATACGCGAAGCGTGAAGAATTCATCATAACCCGTGTCCCAAAATCTCTTCTGCGCTCAACCTCTTCTCGGCGGCGCTCACGGGGGGAAGCGAGAGGGAGCAGGCCTGTTCAGAAGGCGGCGGGGCTTCTCAGAGGCCCTCGGGCCTTCTTAGAGAAGGCCCGAGGCCTTCCGAACCGTCTGAGAAGGCCCGATACCCCTGTGAAATTCCCCCCCGGGCTCGCCGCCGAATAGAGGGAAATGAAGGCGAGGAGCTGACGTGCGTCCTGGGGGGAGGAAGATCCTGCAAGGGCGCGGCGCTCGGGCCAGAGAGCCTGGTCAGCGCACGCTCTTACAGAACGTGGTTCTCAGAGAGCATGACGCCAGCGCGCGTGTGCCCCTAACGACTCTTCCGCGCGACGCGTAGTGCCATCTGCGTGGTGCAGCAAACTTGGTGCACTGTTGGTGGTTGTCTGGTGGCGTGCTTATCTACGGCAACACACGTCGTGCATGCAATCCAGGGCAGCGCACGCGAAGCACGGCCGCGCAGCGCCGAGCAGAGCGAAGCCGCAGCTGGGCCAGGCCATCGCTACCCACGCTGCGAGAGACCGCGAGAGCCCAGGCGGCACCCGCTGCGCACGCCCTCCCGACGCCACCGGCGACGCCGCCGAGGGCCGTCGCCGTGGCAGACCGCGCACGGCCCGACGCAGAAGGCCCGACCCGTCAGACAGGACACCAGGCCACGGCAGGCCAATTAGGGGGCCACATGCGAACCCTAGTTGCCAAGGAGGAGGAGGAGGAGGAGGAGGAGGAGGAGGAGGAGGAGGAGGAGGAGGAGGAGGAGGGGGAGGAGGCCAACTAGGGGGCCAACTAGGGGGCCCTCCCCCTCAGAAATCGTGGGCCGCCTCGGGAGGCCTGGCACCAACAGCCGACCCCCTCCGGGCCCCATCCCATCCCCCTTGGCGCCTGCTCTGCCGACAGAGCCCACCCCCGAGGACCCCCTCCGCGGAGTCCATCTTGTCGTTGCCGTGCTCGTCGACCAGCGGCCAGCAGTCGACGGTGACGAAGAACTGGTCCTGCGAGCCCTGCTCGTAGGGCAGCTGCTCGCAGGCGTCGACGCCCACGCGCAGCACGTGGGTCGGCCAGCCCCTCTCGTCGGGGCTCAGGAGGTCCTCGCTGGGCGCGCGCGCGCGAGCACCCCCCCCTGTAGTTCGCACGCCCCAGCGTTTGTTGCTTGTTGCCCTGGGCCGTAAGACTGCCCCGCGCGAAGCGCGGCGCGTGCTCGATTCTTCACGCTCTCTCGCGCCGCCCTCTCGGGAAGGACAGGTCTCCTCGCTCTGCTATGCGCTGCTTCTGGTTCACGGGTGCTCGCAGCGCTACCTGGTGGCCCCGTGCTCGAGTTGCAGTGCTGAGAAGATCTTAAAGTATGCTCACGTCTTGGCATGTTCGTCTGAGTATCTCTCTCTCTTTCTACCAAACCCCCGTCAACGAAGGCATCGGGGACCCAGGGGGACTCCAAGAGGCCCCAACCCTGGAGGTCCCCAGGAGGCCACCAGAAGAGGCCTCCGAGAGACACCCGGAGGCCCGAGAGGGAGCAGAAACGCCCAGTCAGCCTCGATCCTCGATTCGCCCTCCCCGACCAGAGAGGTCGCCGTCGTCTTCGCCGTCGTCTTCGCCGTCCTCTTCGCCGTCGCCGCCGCCGTCGTCATCGCCGTCCTCGCCGTCGTGGTCACCGTCGCCGGCCTCCCCGCCCTGGCCGAGGGGCGGAGGGCGCGGAGGGGGGGTCTCCGCTCCTCGGCCTCGTCGTCGAGGTCCAGCCGCTGGGTCGCGGACCGCCGCTTGGTGTCGAGGCGCTCCTCCAGCTGCACCCGGGAGCGCCCCGCGAGCTTCAGCGAGGAGGGAGCCGTGCGCACCTGCCGGGGAGGCGCAAGTTTCGGCGGTGGACAAGCCTGCCTTTCGTAGACCTCCCCTTGGTGAAAACGGCCTGGGGCCGAAACCGACGGACCTGGACCCGCAAAGACGGCGGCCGCGACGCCCTCCCGCGAGCCGAACACGGCCAATTCCTCAATCGACGTGTCAGGGTAGGAGGTCTGTCCACCCCCGAGGCAAGGCTCGGGTCATCGGCTGCACGCAGGAGTGGCCCCAGGCAGGAGTGGCCTGTGGCGCGGGGCCGCTTGGGGGCCGCGGGGGGGGGGGCACCAAGCACAAGCGCGCCAGACGCTGCTGTCGCACCGCGCTCGGCGATCGGGGGGCCCCACGCCACAGGTCACTCCGGCGAAGGGTCACTCTTACATGTAGTCGAGGCTGGGGGGGTTCGAGTTGGCCCGACCAGGTCATCATGAAAAAAAACGGCCCAGTGCGAGACTTGACGCGAGCTCCCGCCGCAGACATCCCACGAGAACTGGGCTGCCAAGATCCAGGACACGCTCGTCAAGAAGCCTCGGCCAACTCGAGCTCTGGTGCACTCGAGCCTTACGTTTTCCCCGAACCTGCTTCACGTGGGGCTGCAGCAGGGCGAGGAGCGACTCCATGTAGTCGTTGGTCAACCCCCTCGCCGCGGGTCCGCAGGTTACCAGCCTGGAACATATCCCTATCCCTATGTTCGGCATCGCCTCATCACGATGGCGATCTTAGGGATTCCATCAGTTTCTGAGGGTGCATCCGTAAGATTGTCATCGCGTGTCAATCTCAGGGATAGGGATACGTTCGAGGCTGGTGAGGGGCGGCGCGGGCGAGGGGAGTGCGGCCCTCGGAGTTAGGCGGAGGGGGGCTCCCTGGAGAGCCGGGGAGGCTCCCAGGCGGGCTCCTCGGCGAGCGCCGAGAGACGCGCGCGTGCCACCCCAGAGGCCGCCCGGGAACGAGGCCAGCCTCGAGAGCGGGACGACATCGAAGCTCGGGATGCGTCCGGGACCTCTCCGAGAGCCCGGCGACTCCGGAGGGTGCATCTCGGGGGCGCGCCAACATGGATTAGCAATCCGTGAATTTGGCGCGCGGTCGCCAGATCCATGGATCGGAGGACGTGCCCTCCCCAGAATGCGGCCGTCGCCGCCTCGTTCGGCGGCGGAAATCCGCGATTTCCCATGGAAACGGGACCCGTCGCTAATCCACGCCCCCTTACTCCATGTCTGCGATCGCCCGAGCAGGGACCTCTCCGAGAGCCCGGCGACTGCGGAGGAGGCGTCGGGCGCCGCGGCCGCCTCGGAGCGCTCCCCGGGAGCGCTCCGAGCGGGAGCGCTCGGGAAGGCGCTGGAAGGTTCGACGCTCGTACCTCCTTGGAGCCACTCGCTCCACTCGTGCGTCGAAGCTGCGTCGCACGTCCGTCGACCCGCGTCGAACCTGAGTCGCACTCGAGTCGAACCTGCGTCGAACCTGCGTCGAAGTTCAGTCGAACTCGAGTCGAACTCGAGTCGAGCAGGTCCACTGTGCAGGCCCCAGAAAGGTCCCCTCAACGAGCACCGAAGGAGGGATCCGTCCCCAGCCCCCGGCCTGCCCGGCAAGAGCGGGCCGCCCCCTCGCCCCGCCCCCTTGCTGGGCCCGCCGGCCGGCCTCATCTTGGCCTCGAAGCTCTGCCGGGTCATGCCCACCGTATCCCCGACGTCCTGCGGCGGCGCGCGGGCACGGAGGGGCGACGCAGGGGCGAGCCAGGCGGCCACCCAGAGAGCCCGTGGGGGCCCCCAGGAGAGCCCAGGAGGCTCCTCCTCCTCCTCCTCCTCCTCCTCCTCCTCCTCCTCCTCCTCCTCCTCCTCCTCCCTCCTCCTCCTCCTCCTCCTTCCCTCCTCCTCCGCCTCCGCCTCCTCCTCCTCCTCCGCCTCCTCCGCCTCCTCCGCCTCCTCCTCCTCCTCCTCCTCCTCCTCCTCCTCCTCCTCCTCCCTCCTCCTCTCCTCCTCCTCCTCCTCCCTCCTCCTCCTCCTCCTCCTCCGCCTCCTCCTCCTCCTCCTCCTCCTCCTCCTCCTCCTCCTCCTCCTCCTCCTCCTCCTCCTCCTCCTCCTCCTCCTCCTCCTCCTCCTCCCCTCCTCCTCCTCCGCCTCCGCCCGCCTCCGCCTCGCGCCTCCGCCTCCTCCGCCTCCTCCGCCCTCCTCCTCCTCCTCCTCCTCCCTCCTCCTCCTCCTCCTCCTCCTCCTCCTCCTCCTCCTCCTCCTCCTCCTCCTCCTCCTCCGCCTCCTCCCTCCGCCTCCGCCTCCGCCTCCGCCTCCGCCTCCTCCTCCTCCTCCTCCTCCTCCTCCTCCTCCTCCTCCTCCTCCTCCTCCTCCTCCTCCCCCTCCTCCTCCTCCTCCTCTCCTCCTCCTCCTCCTCCGCCTCCTCCTCCTCCTCCTCCTCCTCCTCCTCCTCTCCTCCTCCTCCTCATCCCTCCTCCTCATCCCTCATCCTCCTCTCCCTCCATCCTCCTCTCCTCCTCTCCTCCTCCTCCTCCTCCTCCTCCTCCTCCTCCTCCTCCTCCCTCCTCCTCCTCCTCCTCCTCCTCCTCCTCCTCCTCCTCCTCGTCCTCCTCCTCCTCCTCCTCCTCCTCCTGGAGAGGCCGGGCTGGCCCTAAAGGAGCCCCCTCCCCCCAGGCGGGCCGAGCGGGCGGCGCCCAGCGACGAGCGGGCCGAGCGGGCGGAGCGAGGAGGCGCCTGCTTCCACTCCGACGAGCACGGATGCCCCAGCTCCGCCGCTCTGGCTTTCTCGGGTCGGGCGAAAGGGGGGGATATAGGGCGACGCAATCTATACATATCCACTGCTCCCTGGCCAGGCCCATCCTGAACACAGCAGCTGTGTATACGCCACGCCCTCCTGGTTTGGCCAGGAGGGCGTATACACAGCTCCTGGGTTCAGGATGGGCCTGGCCAGGGAGCAGTGGATATGTATAGACTTCGTCCCCCGAGGATAGCAAAGGGGGGGGGGAGAATCAGCTCGCGTAGCTGACTTCCCCGGCGCCTCCCGGCGCCGGAGGCGGCCATGTATCGAGGGATGGGCCCCTCGGTGAGGCCGAAACCGGCTGCATGCAGCAGATTTCGTAACCCCCCCTTTCCCAATCCCCCCCTTTCGCCCGGCCCGACTTTCCGGCTCAGCCTTTCATCGGGGGTGCGCAAGCATGGGACAGCGATCCATGGATCTGGCGCGCGGTCGCCAAGTCCATGGGTCGGCGGCGGAGATCCGCAACTTCCCATGGAGACGGGGCCCGTCGCTGATCCACGCCCCCTTGAGCCGTGTTTGCGATCGCCCGAGTCCTGCAGGAACTCCTCGCGCAGCTGCTCGTCGTCCCCCTTGAAGCCCAGGAGCCTCGCGAAGACCTCGACCTCGTTCTTGGCCAGGAAGCCGCTCTGGTCCAGGTCGAACTCCTTCCAGAGCCTGTCGACCAGCAGCATGTGCCGGTCCTCGGCGTCCTTGGCCCTGCGCGGCACCTGCTCGTCCTGGACGCCGTCGCCCAGGGGGCGCCAGTGAACCAGGAGGCACAGCTGCGCCGCGGCGTTCAGGCCGCGGTCCTTGAGCTTCTGCTCCCGCTCCCGCTGGTGCGCGGCGGCCTTCTGGCCGACATCGTGCACCACCTTGTGAGCCTTGTCCAAGAACGCCTGGGCGTGCTGGTTTGGGTGCGTGCCCTTCTCGAAGAGGTGCTTCACGTCCTCCTCCCGCGGCGCCTTCCCCTTGCCGGGCCACCACGACTTCAGCTTCACGTTCACGACGGTGTGGATCTCGTCCGCGAGCGGGTCCTCGGCGGGGAGGCCCAGCAGGTCGTTGAGCGAGAGGCCCTCCTCCCGGGCCACCTCGTTCTTGGTGTTCTCCTCCGCCTTGAGTCTTCTCAGCACCTTCTGCCAGAAGCCGTCGTCGAACACGCGCAGGTCGATGAGCTGCTCCGACGGCACGTCGACCAGGAACCAGAAGACTTCCACCCCCTCCTCCCACTCGGGGTTCTTGCTCTTCTCCACAGTCGACGTCCGGAACGTCTTGTTCCCCACGGTGATCTGCACAAAGGGGTCGCAGGTGAGCGACGAGACGTCCCCGGTGACATACGAGGTCAGGTTATCTTCCACGCCCACGAGCCCTCTGGCCTCGCGCACGCAGATCTTGAGGACGCCGGCGGGCCGCGGCCGCACCATGCCGAAGACGGTGTCCTCCGAGGCGGTGATGGGCACGGCGATGCGGTTGGGCAGCACGAGCTGCTTTGCCAGCAGCTGGTTCACCACCCCTTTGATGATGTCGTCGAAGAAGTCGATGTCCAGGAGGCTGGTCAGCCCGGGCCACTTGATGTTGAAGTCCATGGGCTTGCACAGATAGATGGACAGGCCCTCGAAAAAGGGAGGGCGGTCCAGCAGACCATAAAAGCTAATATAAAAAGACGCCGACGCGGATATCTCTTTCACACCTATCCTGATACCCTTGAAAACCAGCTGGATGTTTGCGTCGCCTTTGTACTCCGCGTCGACCTTGAAATCGACCCAGCCGCCACTGAGGGACTTCTTGGCCACCTCGATGGACGTGATCTTCGGGGACGCCGAGCCCAGCTCGCATGGCTCGAACTTTAGCGACTGCATGAAGGGTGGCAGCTTCTGCTTGATGAGATCTACCACGGGTCCCTGGATCAGCTTGTTCACCATGAAGGCGAGGAGCTTCCAGAAGATGCCCAGGACGTCGTTCAGCCACTCGGTTCGCAGCGGCAGCGGGAGGGGCGATCGGATCAGCTCCTCCATCATCGGCCTCACGCTGTGCGCGACGTTCTCCAGCTGCAGCTGCGGACGCATCTCCAGCCCGGTGACTAAAGAATCCTCTGGAAACGCTCACTCCTCGAGGCCCGCGAGGATTTCCCTGGGTCGGCGCTGACCTGCGAGGGGGCGCCTCCAGCGCAGCCCCTGATGTGCTCCGCGCGCCAAGGAGGGGGTCCAGCGCCGATCCCAGAGAAACCCACGCGGACCTCCAAAACGCTACTTCCACGCAGCTTCGGCCCCTCGATCCTCCACAAACCTGGCCAGGTACGGCCACAGGTTGTTGACGGCGTGCGAAAACCACGGCTGCTCGAGGTCGTCTGGGTCCTCGCCGTCCTCCTGCACCTGCGACAGGGGCCGTGGCCGCGCCACCACCCCCGCCGCGCCCCCGGCCCCCTTCAGGCAGGTCGGGTACGCCGCCGCCGCCGCCGCGCCCCACGGGGCGCCAGGTGCCGCCGCTGGCCGCGCGGCCTGGCCCGCGGGCGTGCTGGGCGCCGACGTGCTCGAGGAGGCCGGCGTGGCCACCTGCGCGGGCGGCGTGCTGGGCACCGCACCCCGTGCCGTGGCAGGCGCAGCGCGCAGGCGAGCCGTTCCGGGCACGGCGGCCGGCGCCACGCTGGGGGGGGTCACGGCGCGGGCGAGCGCCACGCTCGGCCCGGCGCCAGTCGCGGAGTGCCAGGCAGTCGCGAGCGGGTCCGCTGGCCCCGCGGGGGCGCTGGCCTGGCCCGCCGGCGCGAAGGGCGCGGTGCCTGGGGAGGCGGCGGCAGCAGACCCCGCGGGGGCCGCGGGGGCAGCGGCCTGGCCTGCTGGCGCGAGCGCCACGGGCCTCGGCGGCGCCACCAGCACCCTGGCGCTCCCGAGCAGGGGGGTTGCGACTGTCGGCAGCGGCGTGCCCGCGCCGCCGGGCGTCGGGGCCACGCCGCTGGGCGAGGGGGGCAGCAGGCGCACGGAGGCCTGCCCCGCGAGCCTGTACACCACAGGCGGTGCCACGGTCACGGGCAGGGCCGTGGACGAGGACCCCGAGGCGGGCGACAGCGGCGCCACTCTCCTGACGACCCCATTCGAGGCCAACGCGGGCGGGGGGGGCCAGACACCTGCGGCGCCCTGCGCTGGCGCCCCGTTCGCCACCGGCTGCGAGGCCGGCGGCGGGGCCACCTGAAGGCCGGCCGCGCCGGCCCCCGGCATGGCCCCAGGCCGCCACGGAGAAGGCCCCCTAACCCATGGCAGCGGCAGCTTCGAGCCGATCCGATTGGAGCCAGGGCCGATGATGCCTCAGCTCGCGATCGTGCTCCTGCCCCGCTTCACTGGCTTCGGCTGCTGCCGCTGCTGCTGATGCCCGCGGCAACAACGGCCCAGCATTGAGAAGGGACGCAATATCCGCCTCCCTCCTCGTCCCCCGTCCTCCGCCCCTACCCGCCTCCTCCCGCCCTGCTCAGATGGTGGAGACGAGGGTGAATGATTCCGCGGTCTCGCCTTCTCCGGCTTCTGGGAGCCCAAAGCGGCTCCACAGGCCCCCAACATCGCCTCAAGACAGCCCTCCTCCTCCTCCTCCTCCTCCTCCTCCTCCTCCTCCTCCTCCTGCTGCTGCTGCTGCTGCTGCTGCTGCTGCTGCTCCTGCTGCTACTGCTCCTCCTGCTGCTCCTCCTCCTGCTGCTCCTCCTCCTCCTGCTGCTCCTGCTGCTGCTGCTGCTGCTGCTGCTGCTGCTGCTGCTGCTGCTGCTGCTCCTGCTGCTGCTGCTGCTGCTGCTGCTGCTGCTGCTGCTGCTGCTGCTGCTGCTGCTGCGTATCCCCGAGTCTCCAGGAGACGCAGCCTTCGCCCCCCTGCCCGCAACGGCAACGACCTGCTTCGGCGCGCGAGGGGGGGGGCACGACGCTGCAAATGGAGACCTTCTAGGGGCCCCCCTGCCCGCAACGACCTGCTTTGGCGCGAGAGTGGTGGGGGGTGGGGCACGACGTTGCAAATGGAAGCCTTCTAGGGGCCCCCCTGCCCGCAACGACCTGCTTTGGCGCGCGAGTGTGTGTGGGGGGGGGGTGAGGGGGGGCACGACGCTGCAAATGGAGACCTTCCAGGGGCCCCACCCCGCCACCCAGTCACGGAGTGATGCGTGCACCGCCCACCCTCTTTCCTCCGTCGAGAATATAGATCCGCGTTCCCGAGGCCACGACCCCGCGTAAACAGCTGTGGATCAGATCCCGCGAGACCACGATCGCACTTAAATTATCCCAGTGCGACCTTACCTAGGAGTTGGAGCCCCTAGGAAAGCAGCATTAGTAGTAACAGTAAAGCTAAGCTAAAGCTAAGCTAAAGCTAAGCTAAAGCTAAGCTAAAGCTAAGCTAAAGCTAAGCTGAAACTAAGCTGGCGCTAAGCTAAAGCCAAGCTAAGGTTAAGCTAAGGCTAAGCTAACACTAAGTTAAAGCTAAGCTGAAGCTAAGCTGAAGCTAAGCTAAAGCTAAGTTAAAGCTAAGCTAAAGCTAAAGCTAAAGCTAAGCTAAAGCTAAGCTAAAGCTAAGCTAAGGCTAAGCTAAAACTAAGCTAAAGCTAAGCTGGAGCCAAGCGGAAGCTAAGCTAAAGCTAAGCTAAGGCTAAGCTAAAGCTAAGCTAAAGCTAAGCTAAAGATAAGCTAAAGCTAAGCTGAAGCTAAAATAAAGCTAAAGCTAAAGCTAAGCTAAAGCTAAGCTAAAGCTAAAGCTGAGCTAAAGCGAAAGCTGAAGCTAAGCTAAAGCTAAGCCAAAGCTAAGCTACAGCTAAGCTAAAGCTAAGCTAAAGCTGAGCTAACAATGAGCTAAAGCTAAGCTAACACTAAGCTGATCGATAAGCTAAAGTTAAGCTGAAGCTAAGCTAAAGCTAAGCTAAAGCTAAGCTAAAGCTAAGCTAAAGCTAAGCTAAAGCTAAGCTAAAGCTAAAGCTAAAGCTAAGCTGAAGCTAAGCTAAAGCTAAGCTAAAGCTAAGCTAAAGCTAAGCTAAGCTAGCTAAGCTAAGCTAAAGCTAAGCTAAAGCTAAGCTAAAAGCTAAGCTAAAGCTAAGCTAAAGCTAAGCTAAGCTAAGCTAAGCTAAAGCTAAGCTAAAGCTAAGCTAAGCTAAGCTAAGCTAAGCTAAAGCTAAGCTAAAGCTAAGCTAAAGCTAAGCTAAAGCTAAGCTAAAGCTAAGCTAAGCTAAGAAGCTAAGCTAAAGCTAAGCTAAGCTAAAGCTAAGCTAATACTAAGCTAAAGCTAAGCTAAAGCTAAAGCTAAAGCTAAAGCTAAAGCTAAGCTAAAGCTAAAGCTAAGGCTAAAGCTCCCAGGGGACTGGGGGAACCGCGGGGCGGGGACTGGGGGAACCGCCCGGGGCGATTAGCATTGCCCGGCCCCTTTAGCTAACAGAGTAAGAACCCTTCTAGGCAGAGCCTGAGTAGGGAAAATTGCGGATCCGCGCTCACGAGCTTCCAGGACGGCCGAGGTAAGCAACCAAGCACCAAGCGTGCCAAGATAGCCTAAGATGCCTCCAGGGCAGCCCAAGTTGGCCCCAAGCCGGCTCAAGACGGCCCACCGGGCACCTAAGACATCCAAAGAGGGCCACGAAGAAGCCAACATCGCAGATGCTCCCGAACTGCTTGAAAAATGTGTTTCTTCACCTTCTTCGTTTCTTCACCTTCTTCGGGCTTCCTTCAGCTTCAGACGGTCCTGGAGGCCTCCAAGATGTCCCCAAGACGGCCCCAGAGGGTCACGAAAATGGCTCAGCAGTTCCTCCAAAACGGCCTTAAGACGACCCAAGAGGGCCCACGAACAGTTGCCTCCGAGAGTGCTGGGCTGGCAAGGTAGCGGAACATGCCGCAGGCAGATAGACCACGCAATCGGTATCTGGCCAACGCCAGTGGTTAACTAATTCTTTTCGAGCGAGCACTTACTAAAATCCTGGCTCCTCAACCCTCGCTCCGCGAAGCGATCTCGCCCCGCTCACTTCGGCTCGTAGTAGATGTGCAGCTCGATGCCGTCCGGCCCCCAGGGGCGCAGCTTGGTGTGGTCCGCGATCTTGCCGGAGATCGGCTTGCTCTCGTCCTCCTTCAGGTAGACGTTGAAGTCGCTGTCCTTGAGGAAGTCCTGGTCGATCTCGAAGATCTTCCTGAACTTGGTGAGGCACGATTCCACCGTGGTGCTCTCGTCGATGATCACGCGGTAGCGGCCGCCAATCGAGGGAGCGGTGAGCATGATCTCGGACCCGGCTTGCCTGGCCACGCGGTCAGCCCGGGAAGCCGTCTGAGCCCTCGTGCCGGCGAAGGCCGGCGAGAGGGTCGCGGACAGCAGCCACGCGGCCGCCGCGGCGAGGACCAGGGCGCCAAAGCTGGAGCGCGCCATCGCGTTCTGGAGGGCCGGGAGAGGCGGTGCTGTTAGCGACCGTCGGGTGCGTGAGGCCAGAACCCTTGAGCTTGGCCAAAAAGACTTGGCCAAATGGCTACGGTGGTGCGAGGTTCCACATGCTGACGTCAAAAACGGCGGCAAGCTAATGGCATGATACTAATCGTCCGTTGCAAGCTGGATGGAAACAAAGAGTCAGCACGATAAGCGGAGTCACACGTGCGTGCATGAAACAACCGCGAGCCTCAGCAACTCCGCGAAGATGGGCCCCACACGTCATTGAGAGCAGCGACGGCAGACGCGGCGCGATGCGAGGTACGTAAGACTGAATGTCCACCCGCGAGGCGGAAGGGGGAAGGAGGGAGCAGGAGGAGCATGGACCGGTGGCGCTGACCGAACCGACTTGTATTAACCTCTGGCTCTGCGGGCATCTTTTCGGCCTGAAAACTGTTGACTTTGAACCAGCTCGAATTATAGCGAGCCTCTTTACCCATGGGTTCGAGGACACATGCGAGGAGAGAGGGGGGGCAGATGAACAGTGACGACGGCGGCGGTGGCGAGAGCAGCGACGGCGACGACGAGGACGAGGGCGAGCCAACGCACGGAGGCGAGGCAGAGGACGGGGGCGAGCGGCAGGCGAGACGACGAGGACGAGCAGTGAGGGAACAGGAAGATTATCCCAGTGCGACCCTACATAGGAGTTGGAGCCCCTAGAAAAGCAGCATTAGTAGTAACAGTAAAGCTGAGCTAAAGCTAAGCTAAAGCTAAGCTAAAGCTAAGCTAAAGCTAAGCTAAAGCTAAGCTAAGGCTAAGCTAACACTAAGCTGAAGCTAAGCTAAAGCTAAGCTGAAGCTAAGCTAAAGCTAAGCTAAAGCTAAGCTGAAGCTAAGCTAAAGCTAAGCTAAAGCTAAAGCTACAGATAAGGTAAAGCTAAGCTAAAGCTAAGCTAAAGCTAAGCTAAAACTAAGCTAAAGCTAAGCTAAAGCTAAGCTGAAACTAAGCTGAAGCTAAGCTAAAGCCAAGCTAAGGCTAAACTGAAGCTAAGCTAAAGCTAAGCTAAACCTAAGCTAAAGCTAAGCTAAAGCTAAGCTAAAGCTAAGCTAAAGCTAAGCTAAAGCTAAGCTAAAGCTAAGCAAAAGCTAAGCTGACCTAAGCTAAAGCTAAGCTAAAGCTAAGCTAAAGCTAAGCTAAAGCTAAGCCAAAGCTAAGCTAACACTAAGCTAAAGCTAAGCTAACACTAAGCTGAAGCTAAGCAAAAGCTAAGCTAAAGCTAAGCTAAAGCTAAAGCTAACACTAAGCTGAAGCTAAGCTAAAGCTAAGCTAACACTAAGCTGAAGCTAAGCTAAAGCTAAGCTAAAGCTAAGGCTAAGCCAACACTAAGCAAGAGCTAAGCTAAAGCTAAGCTGAAGCTAAGCTAAAGCTGAGCTAAAGCTAAGCTAAAGCTAAGCTAAAGTTAAGCTGAAGCTAAGCTGAAGCTAAGCTAAAGCTAAGCTAAAGCTAAGCTAAAGCTAAGCTAAAGCTAAGCAAAAGCTAAGCTAAAGCTAAGCTAAGGCTAAGCTAAAGCTAAGCTAAAGCTAAGCAAAAGCTAAGCTGAAGCTAAGCTAAAGCTAAGCTAAAGCTACACTAAAGCTAAACTAAAGCTAGGCTAAAGCTAAGCTAAAGCTAAGCTAAAGCTAAGCTGAAGCTAAGCTAAAGCTAGGCTAAAGCTAAGCTAAAGCTAAGCTAAGGCTAAGCTAAAGCTAAGCTAAAGCTAAGCTAAAGCTAAGCTGGAGCTAAGCTAAAGCTAAGCTAAAGCTAAGCTGAAGCTAAGCTAAAGCTAAGCTAAAGCTAAGCTAAAGCTAAGCTAACACTAAGCTGAAGCTAAGCTAAAGCTAAGCTAAAGCTAAGCTAAAGCTAAGCTAAAGCTAAGCTAAAAGCTAAGCTAAAAGCTAAGCTAAAGCTAAGCTAAAGCTAAGCTAAAGCTAAGCTAAAGCTAAGCTAAAGCTAAGCTAAAGCTAAGCTAAAGCTAAGCTAAAGCTAAGCTAAAGCTAAGCTAAGCTAAAGCTAAGCTAAAGCTAAGCTAAAGCTAAGCTAAAGCTAAGCTAAAGCTAAGCTAAAGCTAAAGCTAAAGCTAAGCTAAAGCTAAAGCTAAGGCTAAAGCTCCCAGGGGACTGGGGGAACCGCGGGGCGGGGACTGGGGGAACCGCCTGGGGCGGTTAGCACTGCCCGGCCCTTTAAGCAAAGAGAGTAAGAACCCTTCTAGGCAGAGCCTAGGTAGGGAAAAACCGACCCGGCTTGCGCTCTGACCAGGATCCCTGGGCGAACCCAGCCGGGGCGACGACGGACGGGCAGCGGCATCGGTACTAGGTCCACCTCGGAAGCAGGAGGACGTCGTGAGCGCCCCTGGGCGCCCTCAGGGGCCACCTATGAGACCCCCAGGCGCTCCCTTCAGGGGGCTCGGGCGGGCGGTAACGAAACCGTACACCGGATACTTTGCCTGAGGGTCGTGGGCCCGCGAGGGACCCAGGAACCCCGATATGATTTGCGTATATGCATATATGTGTATCGGAAGGGTTGGGGGGCGAGCTCGAAGCGAAACGGAGACCCCCACTGGGAAGTCGGTGTCGATTTTGGTGTTCGTGTCGCGCGCGCGCGCGGGCAAGGCGACGCTGCGTGAGCGGGCGAGAGGAAGGATCCCGCCGTGGCTAAGGCGAAACTGGGCTCAGTGACTCTCTGCGCCCCCCGGCTGGCTGCCGGTGGCTCGGGGCTGTCCCCGCTGGTGTCCCGCCGGTGTCCCGTGGTGTCCCGTGGCGCGGTGTCCCGTGGTGTCCCGCTGGTGCGGTGTCCCTCTGGTGTCCCGTGGCGTCCCGTGGTGGCCCGTGGTGTTCTGTGGTGTCCCGTGGTGTCCCGTGGTGTCCCGCGGTGTCCCGTGAAGGCGATTGTGAGATCGATGGTGAGATCGACGGTTAGACTGATTGACAAATCAGTAGTGAGATCGGTAGTGAGGTGCACTGTCAGTTCGATAGATGGTGAGATCGATAGGTAGAGGGAGATCAATTGTGAGATCGATCGGTAGGTAGGTAGAGAGTGAGACAGATAAATGGCAAAACAGGTGCCCCGTGTTGCCCAACTGGTTCCGCCGAATCCAATCCGACCACAATCGCATACCGAAAGAACAACTCCCCGCGCACACACACACACACACACACACACACACACACACACAACCTCCTTATCATCCGAGGGGTGGTCGTACAGATACATGTATATGTATATACATGTATACAAATGTACGCGCATGTACATATTTGTACAGATGTGCATGTATACATGTTTGTGAGTATAGACACATGTGTATCTATATATATATACATACATGTGTATATACATATGTATGCATATTACGCATGAATGATTCCATTGCCGTCGCCGCTGCCCCCATCGGGGGTCCCTTGGGGCCGTTCTCAGGTTCTCAGGCCGTCTTCTGGGTCTGGTGAACCGTCTTGGGACCCTTTGAAGAATCTTGGAGCTGTCTTGGAGCCCTCTTGGGCCGTCTTGGACGCATCTTGGGCCACCCTGGGCCCTTCTTGGAGCCCACTTGGACGCCTGTGGAACTTTGGGGCCTTCTTCGGGCCATTTGGGCCGTCTTGGGCGCCTTGACAACCGAAAATACGAGTTTTCGAAAATCATCAAACACCTAACACGGAAAACTGTTTTGTTGCATCTTGGGTGCTTCGTACGAATCCCGAATCCCCTCGGGAGCAACTTGGGCCGTCTTGGGAGCCCGTTGGGCCGTTTACTGGCCTTCTTTGGTCCATCTTGTGCCATCTTTGGCGCGATTTGGCCGCGTTGGAAAGCTCACCCGGCTCTCTTGGGGCCTACTGAAGCCCTCTGGGCCAATCTTGGGGCCGTCATGGGGCTCATCCGGGACGGTCCGGGCCTAGCTTGACCAGCCGGGACCTGGGGTGTGACAAACCAATTTTGAATCAATCGTATTACCGACGGTATTAGTACAGCGTCTTTTGAGATCATCCTGACACCTCGGCGTCAGCCCGATAGCAAATCCTTGATACGAGTGTACGGGGATGTTAGACAGGAGGGCCCTTGACATCCCATAACCCGAGCCTAGCCGATGATTAGCATTTTGAGTGTCCTCGCTCGGCGCGGATACGGTTATACTTTGAGGGGGGCCACTGGTGTCGACAAGCGGTAATCCGCCACCATGCACACTGGCACGTTGAGGTGTGGTAGAATGCCAAGGGCTGCCTGCTAAGGTTTGTCGAAATCTTCTAGGGGCACCACCCCACCCCCCCAGTCACGGAGTAACGCGTGCACCGGCCACCCCCGTTCCTTCGTAAATTACCCCTTCAACGGGTCCAACGATATGCAGCAGGCGTGCGTACCGCAAGGCAGGTGGGACGAAAGAAGGGGAAGTCCCCATGCGGCCAAAAACAGTGAGGGGTGTGCCGAAGTGGGGAGGTGCCGACTAGCGGGCGCTAGCGCCGTTGGTGGAGCTCCCTGTGGCCTACGGGGCCACGAAACGTGTGAGGGGCGTGCCGAAGTGAAGCGCCAACACCATGCGGACCCTAGCATTCGGGCCTTCGGTGGAGCTCCCCATGGGGCCACGAAACGCGTCAGGGGTGTGCCGAAATGAAGCACCGACGCCATGCGAACGCTGCCACTGGGGCCTCCGGTGGAGCCCCCTATAGGGACCACGAAACGTGTGAGGGGTGTGCCAAAACAAAGTGCCGCCGCCATGCGGACGCTGCCACTGGGGCCTTAGCTGGAGCTCCCTGGAGCCACGAACGTGTTAGGGCTGTGCCGAAGTAAGGCGCCGACGTCATGCGAACGCTGCCTCTGGGGCCTTAGCTGGAGCTCCCTATGGGGCTACAAAACGTGTGATGGGAAGACGCCGCCGCCATGCGGACGCTGCCACTGGGGCCTTAGCTAGAGCTCCCTATGGGGCCACGAAGCATGTGAGGGGCATGCCGAAACAAAGCGCCGCCGCCATGCGGACCCTGGCGTTTGGGCCTTAGCTAGGGCTCCCTATGGGGCCACGTAACGTGTGAGAGGTGTGCCGACATGAAGCGCCGACGCCATGCGGACCCTGGTATTTGGGCCTTAGCTGGAGCTCCCTATGGGGCCACGAAACGTCTGAGAGGTGTGCCGACATGAAGCGCCGACGCCATGCGGACCCTGGTATTTGGGCCTTAGCTGGAGCTCCCTATGGGGCCACGAAACGTCTGAGAGGTGTGCCACAATGAGGCGCCGACGCCATGCGGACCCTGGTATTTGGGCCTTAGCTGGAGCTCCCTATGGGGCCACGAAACGTGTGAGAGGTGTGCCGCAATGAGGCGCCGACGCCATGCGGACCCTGGTATTTGGGCATTAGCTGGAGTTCCCTGTGGGGCCACGAAACGTGCGAGGGGTGTACCGAAACGAGGCATGGGAGGGCTGAGGCACGAACGGGATGCCGATGGTGATGATGATGACGATGACGATGACGATGACGATGACGATGATGATGATGATGATGATGATGATGATGATGATGATGATAATAATGATGATGATGATGATGATGATGATGATGATGATGATGATGATGATGATGATGATGATGATGATGATGATGATGATGATGGTGATGGTGATGGTGATGGTGATGGTGATGGTGAATAATAATAATAATAATAATAATAATAATAATAATAATAATAATAATAATGATGATGATGATGATGATGACTACGACAACGATGCGGACATGCGGAGGGCACAGACAAGGATGGGAGGAGGGGGGAGGGGGGAGGGAGGAGGGAGGGACGCGGGGCGTTGCTGACTCAAAACGAGGACCCAACACAACGCACTCCCGAGGCCACAATCCCTCATAAGAGAACTATGGATCAGCGCTCCCGAGGCCACGCTCGTCCGTAAAAAAACGTGGATCTGCGCTCTCGAGCTTCCATGACGGCCGAGGTGTAAGCAACCAAGGCTGCCAAAATGGCCTCATATGCCTCCAAGACGACCCAAGTTGGACCCGAGCCGGTCCAAGATGGCCTCAGAACGGCCAAAGAGGCACCTGGGACTGTCCAAGAGGGCCACGAAGAAGCCAACATTGATGTTCCTTACCTGTTTGAAAGATGCTTGCATCTTCACCGTCGTCGAGCTTCCTTCAGCTCCAGACGGCCCTAGAGGCCTCCAAGATGTCCCCAAGACGGCTCAAGAAGGTCCCAAAATGGTCTGATAGTTTTCCTAGAGAGCCTCAAGACGGCCCAAGAAGGCCCTCGAACAGTTGCCTTCAAGAATACTGGGCTGGCACGGTAGCTGGACAGGCCGCAAACAGCGGGACAATGAAATCATACCGCCGGTAGTTTCACTCTTTTTCCCATCCATCATGTGGTGCTGGGTTCTCATTTTGAATCAGAAGCGCCCCGCGTCCTCATCTCCTCCACCCCCTCCTCCTCTCATCGCTGCCTCTGCCCTCCGCATGTCAACCAATTCGGTACACCCCTCACACGTTTCGTGGACTCATAAAGAGCTCCACCGAAGGCCCCAGCGGCAGCGTCCGCATGGCGGAACCGCACCCAACACACATGGCCCCACAGGGAGTTCCACCGAAAGCCCCAACGGCAACGTCTGCATGGCATACCTGCTCACGATCCAGCGCACCTCTCACACGCTTCGTGGCCCCATAGGGAGCTCCACCGAAGGCCCCAGTGGCAGCCTTCGCATGGCGCCGCCGCACACATGTCGGCACACCCCTCAGAAATTTCGTGGCGCCATAGGGAGCTCCACCGAAGGCCCTAGCGGCAGCGTCCGCATGGCGCACCCGCACCCGATTCAGTACACCCCTCACACGTTTCATGGCCCACACGGAGCTCCGACGAAGGCCCCAGCGGCAGTGTCCGCATGGCGAACACACACACACACACACACACAAACACAAACACAAACACAAACACACACACACACACACACACACACACACACACACACACACACACACACACACACACACACACGCATCTGCAAGGTCCGTATGGCGTCGGCGCCTCATTTGGGTGCACCCCTCACACACGCTTCGGGGCTCCATAGGGAGCTCCAGCTAAGGCCCAAATACCAGGGTCCGCATGGCGTCGGCGCTTCATGTCGGCACACCCCTCACACGTTTCGTGGACGAATAGGGAGCCCTAGCTAAGGCCCCAGTGGCAGCGTCCGCATCGCGGACCCGCACCTAATTTGGTACACCCCTCACACGCTTCGTGGCCCCATAGGGAGCTCCACCGAAGGCCCCAGCGGCAGCGTCCGCATGGCGTACCTGCACCCAAGTCGGCACACCCCTCACACGTTTCGTGGCCCCGTAGGGAGCTCCACCGAAGGACCCAGCGGCAGCGTCCGCATGGCGGACCCGCACCCTATTCGGCACAACCTCCACACGTTTCGTGGCCCCATAGGGACCTCCACCGAAGGCCCCAGTGGCAGCGTCCGCAGGCGATACCCGCCCCACTTCGGCACAACCCTCACGAGAATCGTGGCCCCACAAGGAGTTCCACCGAAGGCCCTGACGGCAGCGTCCGCATGCTGTGCCCGATTTCGGCACACGTGACCGCACAGGGAGCTCCACCGAAAGCGGTACCCATAACGCGGTACTCGCAACTGCATATGACTGGGTCCTTCGCCAGGGTATTTCTTCGAGCGAGCGCTTACTAAAATCCTGGCTCCTCCGCCCTCGCTCCGCGAAGCGATCTCGCCCCGCTCACTTCGGCTCGTAGTAGATGTGCAGCTCGATGCCGTCCGGCCCCCAGGGGCGCAGCTTGGTGTGGTCCGCGATCTTGCCGGAGATCGGCTTGCTCTCGTCCTCCTTCAGGTAGACGTTGAAGTCGCTGTCCTTGAGGAAGTCCTGGTCGATCTCGAAGATCTTCCTGAACTTGGTGAGGCACGATTCCACCGTGGTGCTCTCGTCGATGATCACGCGGTAGCGACCGCCAATCGAGGGAGCGGTGAGCATGATCTCGGACCCGGCTTGCCTGGCCACGCGGTCAGCCCGGGAAGCCGTCTGAGTCCTCGTGCCAGCGAAGGCCGGCGAGAGGGTCGCGGACAGCAGCCACGCGGCCGCCGCGGCGAGGACCAGGGCGCCAAAGCTGGAGCGCGCCATCGCGTTCTGGAGGGCTGGGAGGGGCGGTGCTGTTAGCGACCGTCGGGTGCGTGAGGCCAGAACCCTTGAGCTTGACTTGGCCAAATGGCTTCGGTGGTGCGAGGTTCCACATACTGACGTCAAAGACGGCGGCATGCTAATGGGATGAATCATCCGTTGTACGCTTTATGGAAACAAAAAGTCAGCACGATAAGCTAAGTCACACGTGCGTACATCAAACAACCGCAAGCCTCAGCAACTCCACGAAGATGGGCCCCACACGTCATTGAGAGCAGCGACGGCAGACGCGGCACGTTGCGAAGTACGTAAGACTGAATGTCCACCCGCGAGGCGGAAGGAGGAAGGAGGAGGGAGCAGGAGAAGGAGCATGGACCAGTGGCGCTGACCGAACCGATTTGTATTAACCTCCGGCTCTGCGGGCATCTTTTCGGCCTGAAAACTGTTGACTTTGAACCAGCTCGAATTATAGCGAGCCTCTTTACCCATGGGTTCGAGGACACATGACAGGAGAGAGGGGGGGGGCAGAGGAACAGTGACGACGGCGGCGGTGGCGAGGGCGGCGACGGCGACGACGAGGACGAGGGCGAGCCAACGCACGGAGGCGAGGCAGAGGACGGGGGCGAGCGAGAGGCGAGACAACGAGGACGAGCAGTGAGGGAACATATGAAGGAAACCGACTCGGCTTGCGTTCTGACCAGGACTCCTGGGCGACTCCAGCCGTGGCGAAAAGGGGAGGGCAGCGGCATCGGCACGAGGCCCACCTCGGAAGCAAGAGGCCGCCGTGAGCGCCCCTGGGCGCCCTCTGGGGCCACCCATGAGGCCCCCAGGAGCCCCAGGCGCTCCATTCGGGGGGCTCGGGTGGGCGGCAACGAAACCGTGCACCGGATACTCTGCCAGAGGGTCGTGGGCCCGCCAGGGACCCAGGAGCCCCGATACGATTTGCGATTATACATATGTGTGTATCGGAGGGGTTCGGGGGGCGAGCTCGTGGAGTCCCGAAACGGTGCGGTGACAGACCGTGCGGTGACCTCAGAAACCCAAGAGACCTCACCGCACGGTCCATCACCGCACGGTCTTGGAACTCTGGAGGCCCCTGTCGCCCGAGACGTCCTTGGAGAGAGACTCGAATCCCAAAACCGTTCGGTGACCCCGAATCCCCACCGACTCACCTCACGGTGTGGTCACCACCCCGTTTGGGGGACCCCGAGAGCTCATGGTGTCCCGTGGTGTCCCGTGGCGCGTGGTGTCCTGTGGTGTCCCGTGGTGTCCCGTGGTGTCCCGTGGTGTCCCGTGGTGTCCTGTGGTGTCCCGTGGTGTCCCGTGAGGTCAATTGTGAGATCGTTAGATTCATTGACAAATGAATAGTGAGATCGATAGTGAGGTCCACTGTTAGATCGATGAATGGAGAGATCGATAGAATGAGGGAGATCAATAGTGAGATCGATCGGCAGGTAGAGCGTGAGATAGATAGATAAATGGCCAAACAAGTGCCCCGTGTGGCCAAACTGGTTCCGCCGAATCCGATCGGACCCCAATCGCACACCGCACCGGAAGCTAAACTCCCACACACACACACACACACATACAACCTCTTTAACATTCGAAGGGTGGTCGTACAGGTACATAGCTACATAGATCTGGACATACGTATATAAAAAATGTATATCTGTATATATATATATATATATGTTTACGAAAAGACATCTGTCTACATATATATAGATATTAGACTAGAACCACGCGCGCGCTTCGCGCGAGCTTAGGTTCTGTCGAGTCACAGACCCAGGAATCGCTGCGAGAAGAAATTGGTGACGCGAAGCGTCTTGGGGGCGTCCTTGGACGTCTGGGGTCTCCTGGGGCCTCTTGAGGGGCCTCCTGGGGCCTCCTGGCGGCCTCTTGGGGCGGAAGGCTCGAGCTTGCGGTTCGTGGTCCCCCTCTGGGCCCCCTCTTGGGCCCGTCTTGGGGCCCTCTTGGGCCATCTTGGGCGCCTCTTGGGCCGTCTTGGGGCCCTCTTGGGCTGTCCTGGGGCCCTCTTGGAAGCTTCTTGGGCCGTCTTGGGGCGGTCTTGGGCGCCTCTTGGGCCGTCCTGTAACGTCGGAAAGCCCAAAAGACAACTTTGTTGAAAATGTACGTTTTACGAAGGGAATGGGCCAATTTTTGCGTCTAGGGGCCCTCTTGGGACGCATGTTGGAGGCTTCTTGGGGCCTCTTGGGGGCGTCCTTGGACGTCTGGGGTCTCCTGGGGCCTCTTGAGGGGCCTCCTGGGGGCCTCCTGGCGGCCTCTTGGGGCGGAAGGCTCGAGCTTGCGGTTCGTGGTCCCCCTCTGGGCCCCCTCTTGGGCCCGTCTTGGGGCCCTCTTGGGCCATCTTGGGCGCCTCTTGGGCCGTCTTGGGGCCCTCTTGGGCTGTCCTGGGGCCCTCTTGGAAGCTTCTTGGGCCGTCTTGGGGCGGTCTTGGGCGCCTCTTGGGCCGTCCTGTAACGTCGGAAAGCCCAAAAGACAACTTTGTTGAAAATGTACGTTTTACGAAGGGAATGGGCCAATTTTTGCGTCTAGGGGCCCTCTTGGGACGCATGTTGGAGGCTTCTTGGGGCCTCTTGGGGGCGTCCTTGGACGTCTGGAGGCCATCTTCAGCATCTCGGAGCCCTCTTGGAGGCCTCTTGGAAGTTTCTTGGGCCGTCTTGGGCGCTTCTTGGGCCGTCTTGTCTGACTGGGGAGGCCTCCGGCAAGCCCCGACGAGCCTCCGGGCCCCCCGGGGCGCACATTTGTGGTCGGGGTCCCGGCCCCGGGCCCCCGGACCCGGTGCGCCGTTATATGTGTAAACATCGCGCGCGCTTCGCGCGGGGTCGGCGAGGAGCTACGCCGCGCGACCCCGCCGACGACGACGACCCCGCCGACGACGACGACGACGACGACGACGACGACGACGACGACGCCGACTACGACGACGGCGGCGGCGTCGAGGACGACGACAAGCTTCGAACTTCGAGGTTCGAGGTGGTTCTCGGGGCGTTCTGCCTCCGGGGGCTGCATTCGGGCCCTCGGGCCACCTGGAGTCGAGTTGGGGGCGGGAAGCAGCGAGGAGAGGGGCCCGGAGGGCAAGCGCAAGGGAGGAAGTGCGAAGCGGAAGCAAAAGCAGAGGCGAGAGCAGGAGCAGGAGCAGCAGCAGCAGCAGCAGCCGGAAGAACAGGGGCGAACAAGAAGCAGGAGCAGGAGTGCCAGTGCGAGGCACGAGCACTCTCAGGAGCACGAGGAGGAACATGCAACATCAGCTGCTGATCGTTGTCGTTATCCTCCTTGTCGTCAGCGAAGTCGTCGACGTTGTGGTCGTCGTCGTCATCGTCGTCGTCGCCGACGTCGTGGACGTCGTTGTGGTTGGGTCACAGGCCTTTTGAAGGTTCGTCGGCATGTCGTGGGATGCTGCTCTGGGGCCTTTCGGATGCAAGTGTGAAAGCCCCTTGGAGTCTGTTTCGGGGGATCGTGGGGGCCCTCTTTTGGGCTGCTTGGGGGCGCTCTTGGGCATAGGAGCCCCTTGAGGTAGAAAATGAGCACTTTCGGCTCGCAGTCCTCCTCTTGGGCCTTCTTGGAGCCCTCTGGAGGCTCCAAGAAGGCTTTCTTGGGCTCTCTTGGGGGCCCTCTTGGGGCCGTGTTGAGCGCCTCCAGGGCCGTCTTGAGGCCCTTTTGGACCGTCTTGGGGCCCTCTTGGGAGCTTCTCGGGCCTTCTTGGGGGCTTCTGGGGCTGTCTGGGAGCGTCGGAAGTTCGAAAAGTGGAAACCCCAATAAATAACCAAAGACCAATGGAATCTCAATGATTTTTGCCTCTGGGAGCCTTTCCAGGAAGCCTCGAGCGCGACGTGGAGCATTTTGAAAGCGTTTGCGGCCGCCAGGACGGCGACGTGGAATGTCTTGGCGTCATCGAGGGCCTCGCGGGAATGGTTTGGGGCGACTTGGATCGTTTCTTCTGCCTCCCGGGGCGTCTTGGAGGAATTGTCGCGTTGTCCGGGACCCCCGGAATCCCCAGGCCCTGTCGGGGGCGAAGCCCTGGGAACCTGGGCCTCGCGCACGGGGAAATACACATATATATATATATATATATATATATATATATATATATATATATATATATATATATATTCTCATACGCACCTCTCCGAGGGAGTAGAGCTCAGAGGCGATTAATGCGCACGCGTCCGCGATTTTTCTGGGCGTTTCGCTCGGGACATCCTCGAAATTCTGAAAATCGGTGGCACCCCTCACGCAGATCGTGACGTCAGGGTCCAAAAACACATGGGAATTTCAACATTTTAACATAAAACCTTCAAAAACACATTGTAATTTCAATAATTGTGACCCCGATTCTCAGGGAATGGCGGTTTCGCTTGAAAAATCCTTCCAAAATCGAGCCCCAGACCCCGCCTCGGAGCCTCCTGGGGGCCTCCTGGAACCTCCTGGGGCCTCCTGGGGCTTTCTGAACCTTCTGGCACCCCAGACCCCGCCTCGGAGCCTCCTGGGGGTGTCCTGAAACCTCCTGGGGCCTCCTGGGGCCTCCTGCGGCCTCCTGGAGCCTCTTGGGGCCTCCTGAAGCCTCCTGGGGTCTCCTGCAGGAGAAAGCTCGCATGAAGTCCCTACAGCAGCGCCAGCGCCGGCTGGCTATGTTTCGGCATGTGGCTGGACGTCGTGCCTCCGCACTATGGCGTGCAGGTGCTGGGCCTGCTGTTGCGCATGGGGCTGGCGTGATGGGCCTTGCTGATGATGTGTTACGACGTTGTCGAAGCACGGCTGCGATGTTAGTCGGCGCGCCGCCCCAGGCGCACAAGACTGCCTATCTGTACTGCCAATGGCAAGTGAGGTACGATCCGATATTCGACGCGACCACCTTTCTGTTATGCCGATATCACGCTTTTGTTTGGGACGGCCGAGTTGTCCTGAGTGAGTTGAGACAGGCATGGCAGGTGTTGGCTGACAAGGTGGAGACTACAGGCATCACTTGGGCTACTGCTCGAGGGCCACTGGCAGCTACCTTCTTGACACT